ACACTAAATAATTTGTGTGTGTAAATATGTGACATATATACAATAAAATGTTCAAATAAAAAAGGTTAAAAAAAAAAGCTGTTGTTGTGTCCTTAGGCAAGACACTTCACCTACATTGCCTAGTAAGAATGTGGAGTGTGTGTGAGTGATGGTGGTGGTCGGGGAGGGGTCAATGGTGCAGATTTCTGGCTTCCGTCAGTCTGTCTCAGGGCAGCTGTGGCTACAGTAGTAGTTTGCCACCACTGAGTGTTGAGTGAATGAATAATGAACTGTAAAGCACTTTGGGTGTTTTGAAAGGCACTATATAATGCATAGATGAATAATTAAACCATTTATTTTTTTACCGTATGTTCCACACTATTAGGCGCTCTGGATTATAAGAACGGCCTATTTTCGAACTTTTTTTCACAAATAAACCGCACCGGACTTTAAACGAAACACAACAGTTGGATGGGTCAGTGGGACTTTGTTTGTTTGTTCGTTCACGGTGACTCTGGGCTTTGTTCAGTTGTGGCGTGTAGGGAGGGTGCTGTCTGGGACCGCTGGATTGTCGGCGTGTTTGCAGTGACTCAGTTGTTCAGTTGTGTCTAGAAGTGACACATTGCACTCGCTTTTTCGGTTCGTTCCTCGTCCGTGTGGAGTGATGAGTGTGGCTGTGGGTGTTTTTTGCTGTGCGATCGCTGTCTGCTCCGTGTGTGTTTGCGTGCGCTGCGGCTTTATAGTTTACTGAAGTCGTGCGGGGACAACCGAGTGAGTTCGTTTATAGGGCGCTCTGGATTGTGGGGCGCACAGTCGTTTCTTGATGGGGTTGGAGGCTTAAGAGCGAGTCTAATAGCCCGGAAAATACGGTAGTTGGTTAGTGAGGAGAAGATGGATAGGCTGAGGTGTCTGGTGGTTCTACTGCAGCGGAGGCACAGACTGTATAAATGGACAAAGCTAAATCTCCAGCTGCAGCGTTCCAAATAGGAAGCGAGTGTGAGCACAAAGCGGTTCTTTAAAGCTCTAGTTTCAGTTTACTATTGGCTCTGTTCACGCTTACGTCACAAACCAGGCAGACGTTTGAAAAGATGAGATGAAAACTTCTGGTGGCTCTGTTCGCGACAGTAAGTCTGACAAATCTATGAAAAATTTGAAAATGTCCCGGTTTTCCTCATCTCCGTGTCATTGTAGAGTTCCGTTATGTTTCGCTAATCAACAATTCCAACCATACCTCAGTTTTCATCATTTCCACACTGACGCACAACTCCGATCACACTGGGTACATGCGATTAGAAGAGATGAGGCGCGCACAGATCACATTTACTTCAGTGGGTTTTGTCACAGTCGGTCGGTGAGCCCAGTGTTGGGAACTACACCGGAAGTTGTCATCCAAAGTTGTTTCCAAACGTCTTCCTAGTTTGTGACGCAAGCGTGAATAGAGCCTGTTACAATTAAAATCAGTAGAAACTTGAAAACTATCCCTTCATGACATCATACAGTGGAACAGAGCATGTTGAGCTTTAGAGATGCAGGAGACTACGCAAACATGTGCAGATGTGGCTTGAAGCTTCCAAGACTCAAATGAGCAAATATCGGACCTTTAAAGATGCAGCATGTGACTTTTCTAGCGGAGGTTCCAAGCACCAGAGTGTCTCCATGGAAACGAGATATTATTATTGAATGTTTGAGTTTCGTTATAAACCGGGACGGACTGGCAATTTGTGCATTTTGGAACCCCACCGTCGGTCCTAAATTTCCAGTGTGGGAAGATTTGTGGTGAAAAAGTCTCGGTTCATTTTTGGTCCGTCCCTGGTTATAAAACTGTCAATCTTGCATTTACTCAATTATAGGTATTTTATTCCTAAACAAAATACCTTGATAAACACAAATTCTTACTGTTAGCGGCGTCTCCTGACCTGTAACTTGGCCTGACACTTGCTTCCGTAGAGACAAGTTTAATTCCGCGACGTCTCCCAAGTTACATCCAAAGTTACAGACCAAAACTTTAACTAAAATGATGCGGCAAAAAAGCGTTGTTGTGTGTTTAATTTCACATTCATCAAACGACACGGAATCACAATGAAAAACAGCTTCATATTTTAATAATGTAGTTTAAGCTGCGTTATAATGATTTTCCATAAAAGCAGCCGAGTCGTACGAGATCCGGTCGGAGGCAGCCAAACCCTGTGTCTCACTTTGAGGTTAATGACTTACATATATTTATAGAAGCCACCGCTGTCAGTCAGTTTACTCAAATCTACCTCTCGTCTGCTCCCCCCGCTGCTCCTGTGGTAGAGGAAAATTACCCAGCATGCACCCCACTGCCTCTTTGATTTACTGTGAAATGTAATAGGGCGCGTATACTGCTAATACTGTAATGATGACGCAGGCTGTGAATTTGTATAACATTTGATTTACATCTATGGTGAGTCACTGCATATTCATACATGTCAGTCATACACGGTACGAGAGTTAAATTATCATACAAGTTACACCTGAATTGGATTTAACGATCGAGACGCTGTACAAAATGAGCACTGTGAAGTTATTGCATATTTCGTAGCTTTTATTTATTTGAGTTTTCAGTCTTTCTCTATTGGATGAATGTTCAGCGGTTACCATGGCGACACGACGCACACATTTGCAAACACAGACACAAAAAAAAAGTTTAAGACAATACAGCATGGATTTAAACATACTGTACATCATCGTTTCCCAGAGACAGGTGGGTTGCAAGAGATTTTTGTTGGGTCGCCTTGTCACGATCTGCATGTCGATCTGTAATATTCATAAACATACATCTCCACGCATCCCCCTCGCTCCTCACTTTTTCGCCAGCACCACCTACTGCCTTGCCTAACCAATTTTCTGTGGGAAACACTGATTACTGTTTTTCCTTCTTTAAAACTTGAGTACCGTATTTTTTGGACTATAAGGCGCACTTAAAATCCCTTAATTTTCTCAACAATCGACAGTGCACTTTATAATCCGGTGCGCCTTATGTATTAGTTCTGGTTGTGCTTACTGACCTCGAACCGATTTTCAAATATATTCCACCGAGTCGCATCAGTCTGATCAGGTATCGGATAAATAATATACGTATATAACACACAGGACACACAGGACACAACAGTTTTGTTTATTTTTTAAACTGGTGGGGGACTTGCTCAGGGACGTCCGGTTAGCGCGACTGTCTGTCCCAATGCCTGCTGTGCTAGCGGCGCATTCGCACTGGGACTTTTGGTCTGAGCCGTGCTTGGGCGCTTGGTCCGTTGGTGTTGCACGGCTGTGTTTGTTGCAAACAAAACAAACAGCGCTGTTGTGCAGTAGAGCTGGCGCTATTGGCAGTGAGGGTCCGACCAGCGGCGTGGAGCGTCTATTGAGCGGTAGGAACGATGTTGCAGCGCACGCTCCGCTGTGAGTTTGTGGATGTGGGGGCGGTGCGGGGGAGTGGGGGTGGCTGGGAGAGAGTCTGTGGGGCTTCTGTCATCTCGTTTTTATTTGCTAAGATTTTGTATTATTTGGATTTCATAGACGAGCCTAAATGTTTTAACTGTAATGCACAGGCTTCCATACATTATCAAATATACAAACTCTAGATTGTGCAGAGTCTAGTCTCAGTCTGATCTGATTCTGGTTTGGTTCCTGTTTTGTCCAGTTCATTTTACTAAGTTACACATTCCACGACCAGACTGTGAAAAGTAAAGATTTTCAACAATGATGGTTCATGGTTAGAAAAGTTAAAATTAAAATTAAAGTTTTGGACATTTGATTTTTCACACTAAGTTCAGCCCAAATACTACACATTGAAATCAACACAATCTGATCCCCCCACACATCCTGGATCTTATTCTTTGCTGTTAGTTCATTTTATAACGTTTTATAGAAGTATCGGATCGGGACTCGGTATCAGCAGATACTCAAAATCAAATGACTTTGACTCGGGGGCAAAAGAATGTAATCGGAACATCCCTACAATATTTTTATTTTTAATTATTTTAATAGATCCATGTTTATCACATGCCCAGTGTCTTTAACTACACCGGAAGTCATCATCCACATGTTTCCAAACGTCTTCTGGTAAGTGTGAATAGAGCCTTCTCCAGCCGTGCACCGGTACCAGGCTGTGGGTCGTTTGGTACCGGGCAGCGAAAGTGTGAACCCCTCCTCCCATACGTTGCGCGGACCGTTTCTTCTCCCACGCACCTCATGGGCTGCATCTTCTCACATGTTCTGCATGCGCCTCTAAACCAGAACTAAAACCAGCACTAAACAGGTCTAAACCAGGTCTAAAACCAGGATTAAACCAGAATTTAACCAGGACTAAACCATGCTCTGCGGACCACGTCTCCTCCCGAACGCCATGCGGACCAGGAGCAGGCGCGGTCCACGAAATATTGTCGGACATAAAACTCTTATACTCTCTCCACTCTTTCTGGACTCTCCATTTTTGAAAGTAGGGATGTAACGACATATAAATCTCATGGTACGATATTATCAGAACGATATTTATTGTGATATTTTGGAGATGCTAAAAGATATGTGAATATAATACTTTTCTCTTTTAAAATGCCTTGAAAAGACTTCAGAGTGAATCATTACTGTCACAATCCAATGATTTAAGATGTAAAAGTGCTTGATAACAGCTATTTTATCACGTAGTCTGCACTGAAATGAAGTAAAGGATCTTGGTCTATGCAGTTCTGAGTCTTTTTTTAACACTTCTAAGCAAAGAACGTTATAATTTCACATATTAAGCCAAGATATTTTAAACGATATTATTGTGAGAGTTCTGACGATACAAGATCAGGATATTTCTGTTATTGCCACATCCCTACATAGAACTTACACAGTGCACCTTTTTAATGTTTAGTTCCACTTCAAAAATTCCAAAAAAGCAAATGATTTTCCACAATTTTCCAGCCTAACTCAGTCGTCTCCTTCTCACACATGCATGTTAAACAAAGCCTGAGCCCCAGCTCTCGACAGGGCGCTGCTTTCATGTGGTTTGCATCACTCACCCTCTCCCCAGACCGAGGCCTCTTCTTGGGTCGGCTGGGCACGGAGTCCTCTTTGGGGTTGGTGTCTATGGCCCAATATGAACCCTGGAAGACACAAGCATGAAAGGACAGAGAGCTGTGTGTCAATAAAGGCCTTTAGATGGAGACTTAGACAAACTTTATTGATCCATAAGAGAAAATATTCAGACACAGAAGCTCACACATCGCAATATAATCAAAGTAAGTCTTTATTTTATATAGAGCTTTTCACAGACATATGTCACAAAGACGCTTTACAGAGCATTATTCAGTCACTCCAGACCCAGTGATGGTAAGCTACTACTGTAGCCACAGCTGCCCTGGGGCAGATTGACGGAAGCCATGCCAATCGGTTCCATCAGTCCCTCCAACCACCACCATCACTCACACACACACTCATACGAGGCAATGTAGGTCAAGTGTCTTGCCTAAGGACACAACAGTTTTTTTGTGACTGGTGTCCCACTGTGGCACCTGATTTTCCCAGCGGTCTCATATCCAAGTATTAACCAGACCCGGCCCTGCTGAGCTTCTGAGATCTGACGGGATCAGGCTTTGACAAACTGGTTTGGCCACATAATAACAAAGAGAAAAAAATATATATATAAATAGTAATAATAAATTATAATAATAAAAATAAAAAAGTAAAAAACATAATTACATATGCACATTATTATATTGTAAAAGTTGTAGGGAGTATTATCTGTTACATAAGGGTGAGTTGTTGTACAGTTGTAGGGAGTATTATCTGTTACATAAGGGTGAGTTGTTGTACAGTTGTAGGAGTATTATCTGTTACATAAGGGTGAGTTGTTGTACAGTTGTAGGGAGTATTATCTGTTACATAAGGGTGAGTTGTTGTACAGTTGTAGGGAGTATTATCTGTTACATAAGGGTGAGTTGTTGTACAGTTGTAGGGAGTATTATCTGTTACATAAGGGTGAGTTGTTGTACAGTTGTAGGGAGTATTATCTGTTACATAAGGGTGAGTTGTTGTACAGTTGTAGGGAGTATTATCTGTTACATAAGGGTGAGTTGTTGTACAGTTGTAGGGAGTATTATCTGTTACATAAGGGTGAGTTGTTGTACAGTTGTAGGGAGTATTATCTGTTACATAAAGGGTGAGTTGTTGTACAGTTGTAGGGAGTATTATCTGTTACATAAGGGTGAGTTGTTGTACAGTTGTAGGGAGTATTATCTGTTACATAAGGGTGAGTTGTTGTACAGTTGTAGGGAGTATTATCTGTTACATAAGGGTGAGTTGTTACAGTTGTAGGGAGTATTATCTGTTACATAAGGGTGAGTTGTTGTACAGTTGTAGGGAGTATTATCTGTTACATAAGGGTGAGTTGTTGTACAGTTGTAGGGAGTATTATCTGTTACATAAGGGTGAGTTGTTGTACAGTTGTAGGGAGTATTATCTGTTACATAAGGGTGAGTTGTTGTACAGTTGTAGGGAGTATTATCTGTTACATAAGGGTGAGTTGTTGTACAGTTGTAGGGAGTATTATCTGTTACATAAGGGTGAGTTGTTGTACAGTTGTAGGGAGTATTATCTGTTACATAAGGTGAGTTGTTGTACAGTTGTAGGGAGTATTATCTGTTACATAAGGGTGAGCTGTTGTACAGTTGTAGGGAGTATTATCTGTTACATAAGGGTGAGCTGTTGTACAGTTGTAGGGAGTATTATCTGTTTACATAAGGTGAGTTGTTGTACAGTTGTAGGGAGTATTATCTGTTACATAAGGGTGAGCTGTTGTACAGTTGTAGGGAGTATTATCTGTTACATAAGGGTGAGTTGTTGTACAGTTGTAGGGGAGTATTATCTGTTACATAAGGGTGAGTTGTTGTACAGTTGTAGGGAGTATTATCTGTTACATAAGGTGAGTTGTTGTACAGTTGTAGGGAGTATTATCTGTTACATAAGGGTGAGTTGTTGTACAGTTGTAGGGAGTATTATCTGTTACATAAGGGTGAGTTGTTGTACAGTTGTAGGGAGTATTATCTGTTACATAAGGGTGAGTTGTTGTACAGTTGTAGGGAGTATTATCTGTTACATAAGGGTGAGTTGTTGTACAGTTGTAGGGAGTATTATCTGTTACATAAGGGTGAGTTGTTTGTACAGTTGTAGGGAGTATTATCTGTTACATAAGGGTGAGTTGTTGTACAGTTGTAGGGAGTATTATCTGTTACATAAGGGTGAGTTGTTGTACATTATTTTCACTTGTAACGATATCCAAATCTCACGATACAATATTATCAGGATATGCATCTCACGGTACAATATTTATTGCGATATTTTGGAGAACCTGATAAAATTGCAGACAGGGTTAAGAAAGAAGAACCTGGTGTGAATTATTTCCATCATAATTCCAAAAAATCAAGTAAAAGCATATTTCTTCATGTTATCTGCCCTGAAATGAATCTTGAGATATGTAGTTCCAAATGTTTATTAGCTATAGCTACAATAAAACAATGCATTTACGCAAAGGATTTTGTAATTCAGGATATATTGTGACGCGCCATGGTATTACTGTGTGAAACTTTTGACGATACAATATCACGATATTTCCGTTATTGTTACATGCCTACAAATCACTACCGTATTTTCTGGACTATTGAGTGCACCTGAATATAAACCACATCAACTAAATTTTAACTAAATTTTAAAATTGTACATATATAAGCCGCACGTGAATATAAGGCGCAGGTGTCCATGTCTTTGAGAACGTTTTCAAGTTCGGGTCGTCTGCTTTTATCGCCTCTGAAAGTTTTTGTCGTCTTTTTGCATTGAGTCAGTTCGTCACGCTGCCGTCGCCAAAATCTCATCAGCGACTCATTGATGTCGAGCTCACGTGCAGCAGAGCGGTTTCCTTCTTCCAGAGCCACATCAATCGCCTTAAACTTAAAAGCTGCATCATCTGCATTTCTTCGTGTGTTTTCCATGAGGAGGGTGTGTGTATGAAGCACAAAATAACTGTTCAAAACACAATCAAACGAGCATCTTCCTCGGCGCATCACCCTCATCTCTACTGCGCATGTCTCCTGCAGAAAGAGCCTCTGTCCTGTCTGTATCATGTCAGTGTCTTGGAGGATTTCAGCAGATTTCAGACTCTCTCGGGGGCGGGTTAGTTCTATCGATCAGGTATGAGTGGATGTGCGGCTACTGAAGTTTGAGACGTTTCCTCTCGTCATTTACGCACACGGGTAAGACGTATCCCCCTCACTAATGTTCATTTAGTATCGTAACTTATTACGATTAACTATTTGCGTGCGCTGACAATATTGCGAGATAGTGTTGCAACTTCATGTTAACCCTAGATCCACGTGTAACCGCACAGACAACGGCGTTTTCTGCACTCAGGCTGCGCTCGTATCCGCTGTGTTGCCAAACCATAGACCGTAAATATGAACGGACAATGTGCCAAACAAATAATCCGTCCATATATAAGCCGTAGGGTTCAAAGTGTGAGGAAAAAAAGTAGCGGCTTATAGTCCGGAAATTACGGTAATTCACTCACTTCTCTTTTCTGTTGTGGTTCCATAAAAATCCTTATAATATAGATTCTGGTCAACAACATCGGCCAATTAATAGACAAACTGAATAAACACCTACTATGGAAGATCATTAGTTTCATCATGAATTTCCCACTTTTTTAACTTTTTTATTTTTATTCTGAATGTTTAAAATTCAATATAAATAAACACCATAAATATTCAGCACAAATATTTTCAAGCTCTCAAATTCAACATCCAAATTCCGAGTGTCCCTAAACACTATACTGTACCTGGTAAAAATCTGATTTATATTTCGTTAACTCGTAACTCACTCAAACTAATCCTCCCAAAATTCCTGTTATTTTTCTGCCTCTCCTCACTCTGCTCTTAAATTGGCGCTGCCCTGAAAAAAAAAAAAAAAAAAAAAAAAAAAAAAAACATCAGCAGCAGCCCTTTTCAAACCCCAACACTGCTGGAGCACATACAATAAGAAAAATCAATTGCTTTTAGATGTTGGTCTCCTCACTCTCCTCCTCCCTCTCCCCTCCTCCTCTTTTCCTCTTCTCTCTCCCCTCCTCCTCCCTTTTCTCGCTCTGTTCTCTCTCCCCTTTTCCTCTCTCCTCCTCCTCTTCTCTCTCCTCCCTCCTTTTCCTCTTCTCTCTCTCCTCCCCCCCTTCTTTCCTATCTTCCTCTCTCGTCCTCCTCTCCTTCTTTTTCTCTCCACTGCTCCCCTCTCCTCTCCCCCTCCTCTCACTCTTTCTTCTTCTCTCCTCTCTCCTCTCCTCTTCTCCTCTCCTCCTCCTCTCTCTCCCTCCCATCCTCTCCTTCTCCTCTCCTTTCCTCCTCCACTCTCTCCGCCTCTTTCCTTCCACAACCTTTCCTCGTCTCTCCCCCTCCTCTTCTCATCCTCCTCTCTCCTCCTCTCTCCCTTTTCTTTTCCTTCCTTTTCCCTCTCTCCCTCTCCTCCTTTTTCTCTCCACTCCTCCTTCCCTCTTCTCTCCTTCTTTCCTTCCCCAACCTCTCCTCCTCTCGTCCTCCTCTCTCCCTTCCTCTCCTCCTCCTCTTTCTCTCTCCCACTTCTTTCCTTCTCCATTCTCTCCTCCTGTCCTTCCCCAACCTCTCTCGTCCTTCCTTCTCTCTCCCCCTCCTCCTCTCTCTCCTCTTCCTACCTCCCCCTCCTCTCTCTCCCTCCTCCTTTCCTTCCCCAACCTCTCCTCCTCTCTTCCCCTCCTTCTCGCGTTCTCCACTCTCCCCTTCTTCTCCTTCTTCTCTCCCCCTCCTTTCCTCCTCCACTCTTTCCTAACCCCCTACTCTCCTTCCCCAACCTCTCATCTCCTCCTCTCTCATCCTTCTTTCTCTCTCCTCTTTTTTGTCTCCACTCCCCCTCTTTCCCACTCCTCCTCTCCTCCACCTCTCTCCCCCTCCTCTTCTCCTCTCCTACCCCACCTCCTCTCTTCCTACTCCTCTCTCTCCTCCCCTCCTTCTGCTCTCTACTCTGTCCCCTCTTCCTCTCCTCCTTCTCTCTTCCCTCCTCCTTCTCTCCCCTCTTCCTCTCCTCCTTCTCTACCCCACCTCCTCTCTTCCTACTCCCATCTCTTCCCTGTGCTTGCTCCCTTCCTCTCTTCTACTCCTTCTCTCTAATCCTTCCTCTCTCTCCTCTCCTCCATCTCTCCCCTCTTCCTCTCTTCTGTCTCTCTACCCTCCTCCCCTGATCCTTCTCTTTTCTTCCTCTCCTCCTTCTCTCTAATCCCTCCTCTCCTCCTTCTCCCCTCCTTTCCTCTAATCCCTCTCTTCCTCCTCCTCCTCTAATCTCCTTCACGTCTCCTCCTTCTCTCCCCTCCTCCTTTCCTCCTGCTCTTCTCCCCTCCTTCTCTCTAATCCCTCCTCTCTTCTTCCTCCCTCCTTCTCTAAACCCTCCTCTCCTCTTCCTCTCCTCCTCTTCTCCCCTCCTTCTCTCCCTCCTCTCTCTTCCTCCCTCCTCTCTCCCTCCTCTCCTCTTCCTCTCCTCCTCTCCCCTCCTTCTCTAAACCCTCCTCTCCTCTTCCTCTCCTCCTCTTCTCCCCTCCTTCTCTAATCCCTCCTCTCCTCTTCCTCCCTCCTTCTCTAAACCCTCCTCTCCTCTTCCTGTCCTCCTCCTCTCCCCTCCTTCTCTAAACCCTCCTCTCTCTCTCTCCTCTCTCTCCTCCTCTCCTCTTCTCCCCTCCTTCTCTAAACCCTCCTCTCCTCTTCCTGTCCTCCTCCTCCTCTTCTCCCCTCCTTCTCTAATCCCTCCTCTCCTCTTCCTCTCCTCCTCTCCTCCTCTTCCTCCCTCTCCTCTCCTCTCCCTCCTCTCTCTTCTCTCCCCTCCTTCCTCTCTCTAATCCCTCTCTTCCTCCTCCTCCTCTAATCTCCTCCACGTCTCCTCCTTCTCTCCCTTCCTCCTTTCCTCCTCCTCTTCCCCCCTCCTTCTCTAATCCCTCCTCTCCTCTTCCTCTCCTCCTCCTCCTCTTCTCCCTCTCCTCTCCTCTCCTCCCTCCTCCTCTTCTCCCCTCCTCCTTTCTCTAATCCCTCTCTTCCTCTCCTCCTCCTCCTAATCTCCTCCACGTCTCTCCTTCTCTCCCTCTCTCCTGTCCTCCTCCTCCTCTTCTCCCCTCCTTCTCTAATCCCTCTCTCCCTCTTCCTCCTCCTCCTCCTCTTCCTCCTCCTCCTTCCTCTCCTCCCCTCTTCTCCCCTCCTTTTCTCTAATCCCTCTCTTCCTCCTCCTCCTCTAATCTCCTCCACCCCTCCTCTTTCTTCTCTCCCCCTCCTTCTCTTCCCTTTCCTCTCTCCTCCTCCTCCTCTTCTCCCCTCCTTCTCTAATCCCTCCTCTCCTCTTCCTCTCCTCCTCCTCTTCTCCCCTCCTTCTCTCTCCCTCCTTTTCTCTAATCCCTCTCTTCCTCCTCCTCTTCTAATCTCCTCCACGTCTCTTCCTTCTCTCCCTTCCTCTCCTCCTCCTCCTCTCTCCCTCCTTCTCTAATCCCTCCTCTCCTCTTCCTCTCCTCCTCCTCCTCCTCCTCCTCTCCTCCCCCGCTCCGAGGACCAGACTGGACTGGTTTCGGTCCAGGTCTGATCTAGGCCACACACCCTCCAGTCTCTCGGTCCCACCTCGCCGAGCGGTGCACAGCCAATTAGCGCGAGCACATGCATGATTTAGCTTCTCCGCTCTCTGCTTTTCCGCGGAGGTGTGTACCGCTCGCTCACCTGACCAGCCCCCCTTTCTGTTCCCCTCATACCGAGATATTGACTGATTCGATCCAGGTTTGAATTAAGGTGCAGCTCAGGTCGGCGCGGGGCTAATCAGAAGGGAGCGCGCCTCTTTGTGTCTTCGCGGCAGACTATAGACCCATACGCCCAGCCCAAGGATTTTAGGTTTGAATTATTTAAAGCTCCTTCCCTCTTAATTCATTTTTCAATGGCTCCCAAATCCCTGCCTCTGCCTCTCCCCCCGTCTCTGCTTCACAGCGAAAGAGAGCACAGCACACACAGAGTTCGATGAGAAGTTTGTTAGCGGCAGAAGCAGAAAATTAGAGCTGCACTGTGTAACTTTTTGGATGCGGGTCCCTCACCTTCTTGTTTCTAGATAAGTCACTGCTTTACCTCACATTTCTTCAACTACAGGTGGATTTATAGCTCAAAAACACCTAGAAAAAACAGACATTCTGACTGCGAGAGGGGTTTATGGAGTAAGAAAGCTTTCAGAAATATCCAATAGAAATCCGTGCATTTATCTGTAGTTGAGCATAAAATAAATATTCGTAAACTCTCGAATGAGTCCAGTCGTACATAAAATCTGTTGTGTGTATTTTATCCATTAGAATACAAACTGAAAAGTTACGACATCAAGAATTACAGTAACGAAATGAAAATTTTTGATTACACTTTCTTCAGTATGAATACGAATTCACAGACTCGACTGTCAAAAATACGTCATCACTTCACAGACATTATTTATTGAACAGAAGAAACATCACCGGACTTTTGCGCCGCATACAGACTGAGCCATATTTAGCTGAACTAAAAATGCACAAATTTCCCAAATATGCACCGATTTTTTAGCCTGATTCATCAGCCGGTTTCACTTCGTGGAAACTATCTGACCTCGCAGCATTAGATTTTGTTCGCTTGATGGTAGGAGAGTACTTTTTTTAATTAACCAATCGCTGCTATTTGGTCGTGACATATGTAATGCATAGCAGGGATAACCTGTATATATTAAGCTTTTCCCAAATCCCGTACGAAGAAGGGCAATAATGTCTTTCCCCTTGATAAAATTCACCAAACATTCTCTTTCCTCGATCTCAGGAATCGTTGCCAATACAGAATGTCTGTCTCTTCTCTGATTGGCTGGTGCCGGAACTCGCACTTCTGGGGTTTTTGCGAACCGTCCAGTGTATTCCGATTGCTAACCTAGTCACTGGAGAGAAATGAAATTTAGGGAAGGCACTTGGAGGCGCCAGTCTGGCTACGGATTTTTATCCTATGCACACAAATATTTCTGAAAGCTTTCTTACTCCATAGGGATCGCCTCTCCACAGATCAGACCTGTAACTTGGTCTGGTTTGGTCTCAATGAAGATGGAGAAAAACATATGACAGACCTGCCACTGTAAAAGTTACATATTGCAAGGTGAGGGGTAGATGTCGGAGGGTTTGTAATCTTAAAAGACCTTTTCTATGTCAGCCATTTAGTTTGCAAAGATGAGTATGGAAATTACTACTTTATTTTTTTCTTGTATTGATAAAAATAACTTTAAAATATAGTAGACAATAACAAAGTAAATTGTTGAATTTCCTCACACACACGTTTTATCAGGAGGAAACCAGATTAATACCGTAACTTCCGGATTATAAAAGGTCCATTCAGACCTGAGCGTCAAAAAACTCAGTGGGCACCTCTAGTTGTACGCCTTTGCATTTGAGTGGATAAGGAATACACCACGATGATATCATCATTTTCAAGATTAAATGATAGTTCTTTCTTTCTATTACTTCTTTTATATCTGTGTAATCCTTCAGTGGTCCAGGTAGGTTCCATATACTCGTCAACTGACACGTTTACATGAGCTTTAATTTTGAATAAAATTATTTCAATTCTGAATAAAAATCTATTCCGGTTTTAAAAAAAAAACATGTAAATACGAATGAAAATGATTATTCGGAATTAAACTTAATTCCGAAGTAAATGGGTGGTTTATTCCGATTTTAAAGCCGAATTTCTTTTTTTCTCGATCATGTAAATGTTTATTCTTCTTAAAAATGATTCCGGTTGTTTCGCGCATGCTCTTTGGGTCGCTCTTCTGGTGGATCTCTCCAGAAGAGCATCAGTCAGTTATCACTTCGGACTTTCCTCCACGTATCTTTGGATTTGCGAGCGGGATGTGGGAGTGGACTGAGGTAGAGCAGCCGTTGACTCAGTTTGTCTTCTTCCTTCCTTCTCGGACACTTTTCCCTTCTCCTCCTCAGCCGACGGACGTAAAGTGTGATGACAGAATTCTCAAACTACGGCTTAATTATCATTGGAACAACGGTGAAAAAAGTTTGGATCGTGTTTGTGTCCGCGGCGTAACGACAAATCAAGATGACAGAAAAGCCGGCATCAGCTGAAGTGTGTGTTTTCTTCCGGTCGACGTAAATAAGTTCGTGTCTCTGTCCAATCAGAACCCTTCCCGATCTCCAGACGTTGAGCGGAATTAAATAAAGTTAATTCAACGTGTTTTCCATGTAAACCTCAATTCAGAATTATTATGTCCACGTAAACTCGAAGGAGAATATTTTAATTTGGAACTATTTAAGTCAGAACAATTAATTCTGGATTAAAAAACATCATGTAAACGTGGCCAATGTGCTCAAGATCATTCGAAAACTATTCAGGAAAGGTGAATGTGGCTTTTTTATTATCAATACCTCCTCAAATGAGTATCTAGTTTCAAATAATAGTTTTGGTATCGATTAGTATCAGGTTTTCAAGACTTTTTATAACCAAACATTGCATTTTTCCTCTTACATTAAAAGTAATTATGCAAACAAATACCTGACTAAACTAAACCATCTTTTCTATTCAGAGCACACGCATTTCTTTAGTACATCTCTACTTTCTTTTTGTGTAAACTTATCTCAGCTTCCTCCCACTTTGTCTGTGCGCGAATGGGAGCAGGACATGGTCTAATAAAGCATGAACGCCTGGCATCTCCAACAAATGCACCACATATACTTATTATTCATTACTCCTGTACTGCATTATTACGAGGCCCAATCAATATGGGAAGAGCGCACGGTGGAAAAAACGCATTAGGAATTCACCACGGCGGCTGGTTGTGGAGCTTTTAAGACTTAGCGGAGGCATATAAGGGCATATTGAGACACGTGCGGCTAATCTAGTCTTATTTGTGAGCGGGATGAAGGGGGATTGCATATTTGTTGTGGGTAAGGCGGGTTCTTGCGGTCTTGAAAGGATACGTACTTTTCCGGGGTCATCTTTGGAGCGAGGGACTTTGAGGAAGCACTTGTTCAAGGACAGATTGTGACGAATGGAGTTCTGTGGAAAAAAAAGAGGAAAAGAGACACGAGTTAGAACATTTTCAGAATTATTAGGGATGAAACAATAACTCTGATTCGATTAAATTAATAGTTATGGTGCAGCAAAAGCTTAAAAAACAACGGGAACTACATAGACCATGATCCTTTGCTCCGTTTCAGTGCAGATTACGTGAAGAAATAAATGTTCACTGTTGGGCAAGTTACTTTACAACTGTGATGTGTTATTTATGACTTATTACTGTCATTTCAAAGCAATTTGTTACATTAAATTACAATACAATACAATTAAAATATAAGGCACTTTTAAATTACTTTCATCAAAATAACTTCAAAGATGCTGAACTTTTGCGCCATATATGGACTGAACCAGGACTAAACCAGGACTGAACCAAAACTGAACCAGAGCTGAACCTGGACTGAACCAGGACTAAACCAGAGCTGACCCAGGTCGAAACCAGATCTAAACAAGGACTAAACCAGGACTAAACTAGGACTAAACCAGGACTAAACCAAAACTAAAACAGAACTAAACCAGAACTGAACCAGAACTAAACCAGAACTGAACCAGGACTGAACCAGGACTGAACCAGGACTAAACCAGAGCTGACCCAGGTCGAAACCAGATCTAAACAAGGACTAAACCAGGACTAAACTAGGACTAAACCAGGACTAAACCAGGACTAAACCAAAACTAAAACAGAACTAAACCAGAACTGAACCAGAACTAAACCAGAACTGAACCAGGACTAAACTAGGTCTAAATCAGGTCTAAACCAGGTCTAAACCAGGACTAAACCAGGACTAATCTTGAACTAGAACTTGAAATCTAGGACCGCCCCTGAGAGAACTCTGAGCCCGTGGAACAGGATGTCTGCAAGGCGCGATCAGGCGTCAGCTGCGATTTGCCCTGTGGAGCGTGGAGTTCTGCGCCGGTCCTAGACCTGACAGTCTACGCGGGCGCGTCTCCGGCGTTTCACCGCTGCTGATATCGCGGTGATTTTAATGAATTTGTATGAAGAAAAACGAAAAACCCACCACTTCAATCCAGGTTAAAAAAGCATTGTAACGCGCGTTACTCACATTTGTACAGAGTAAAATATATACATTTTTTCCCTGTAATGCCGAACACTTTTATAACGCGTTATTCCCAACACTGTAAATCTTATATCACTTTTAAATCTTAGTTCTTTGGATTTTGAAAGTCTTATCAAGGCATTTTAAGAGGAAAAAGCAGCATATTCACAGTTTTGTTCACCTCCACAAAACATCAGAATAAATTTTGAACTGATTTCAACGCATGAAACACTTTTTCATATCAAATATTAGTGCAGATACTGAAAAATTCGCTGGATCGGCTGGATATCGGCTCCATTTAAAGATTCAAACATATCCTAATTAGACATACTGATGTAATAAAACTATTTACTGGTCATAGTTGGCCCAGAAAGTCTCATAATGTTTGAACGTTTATTTATACAAAGCTGTTCTGGAGTTACACGAGAGCTAAATAACAGCTACAAAACCCATATGGATCAGTTCTGTCTATCTGTTTATTTTTTTGTTTTGTTTTCCGTCTCTGTGCTGGTCTCAGTTAATATTGTGTATTGTGTAAAGTATTGGAAACTGAAAAAGCACAAACTAGAATTTAGTGGCGTAATGATATAAAAATCCATCAATATGATATTTTCACGATATTTTGAGGAGGTTTACAAAATTGTGAATATACGACTTTTTCCTATTGAAAGCCTTGGAAAAGCCTCGAAAAGCCTTTGGTACTGTCATAATATGAAGAATTAAGGTTTAAAAGTGCTTAATAACAGTTATTTCTTCATGTAGTCTGCACTGACAACACCAAAGGATCATGGTCTATGTAGTTCCCTTTGTTTTTTAGTTACTGCCGCACCGTGGCAAGGCAAAGCAAGTTTTTTTGTACAGCACAAGTAATTCAAAGTGCTTTATAGATTAAGAATGACATTAAAATCAAAAAGAAAAACTAAAAAAAAACACAGAATTATTAATTTAAGCAAACAGACTTGTAATTCGATATATTGTGATGGTTTCCGATATTATTGTGAGACTTTTTATGATACAATATCACAATATTTAGGTTATTTTTACATCCCTGCTAGAATTGCAGAGGAACTTGAGTACAAAACCCTCCATCAGAACCATCTCGTTAGCTGATTAATTAGACAATTCCTCTGTATCATATCTACACTGCACCTTTTTCGCAGGGATGTAACGATTTCAACATTTCTCTGTACGATATTTTCACGATATGCATCTCACGGTACGATATTTACGATATTTTGCAGCAGCTAACAAAATGATTATTATTATTATATGTTACTTTTTCCTTCAAAAATGCCTCAACTTTGTTTCTGTCACAAACAAAAGAGTTAAGATAAGTTTAAAAGCGCTTATCACAGTTATTTCATCGTGTAAATTGGACTGAAACAGAGCAAAGGATCATGGTCGATGTAGTTCCCTCTATTTTTTTTTTTTTATCTACTGTTGCAAGATAACAATTACTTTTAAGCAAAGACACTTGAGATTCGATATATTGTGATGGTCCACGATATTATTGTGAGACTTTTGACGAAACGATATCATGATATTTTAGTTATTGTTACATCCCTACTTTTTAATAACCATTTTTCATCCTACTCCTTTTGAGCACCAGGTCCCAAATATGTTCAGGTATATATCACTATTTTTGTTATTGTTTTTGAATTTTGTTGTACCTGGCTCAAACTAAATTAATAAATGAAATAAATTAAATGAAATTTTTAAACATGTAGCCAGAGTAGTCACATTACTACAATTTCAAGCTCGATTTTAATACTAAGGAAGACGGTGCATCCTTTGTTTTTTGGTTAATGGTATCCTGAAATTACTTTTGACTGAAAACTTGGTCACTCTTGATAGATCCAACTTCCTATATGTATGTACATGCCTTGTAAAGTATTTTAACTAAATGTAATTAAAGATGGGACAAATAACAATAACATCGTTAAGAAAAACAGTATAATTATCCATGGGACATTTTAAATTATCACGATAATCGCCAACAAAAAATAACCGCAATCCCCAAAACGTGTAGTAAAAAGACTCTTAACCTACATGATCATTTTTGTTCCCACTTATAACAAAGTACAACACTATAAGAGTCATTTAAATACGGAGACAATTCGTAATATTAAAATTATAATTATCCATATTCATAGACTTCCGGTAAGCAAACAAGGTGGACGTGTAGTTGAGAGCGCCCGATAGCAAAGCCTAGAAAAACCCCAAAGACCAAAACTGTTTGATTTATCAATTCTTATTGTAATGAGCGGGGGTGTGAAGACTAGAAAGTCATACAAAGCATGAAACACAACAAGAAGAGGAACAAATGGACAGCGCAGAACAACAACGTGACGATGCAGATAAAGTTAGGTACATGCTCAAGGAGATTCAGAGAGAACTGCAAATACTCCGCATGGAAAATAAGCAAGATCCAGGTCTAAACAAGGACTAAACCAGGACTAAACAAGGACCAAACCAGGACCAAACCAGGACTAATCTTGGACTAGAACTTGGAACCTAGGACCGCCCCTGAGAAAACTCTGAGCCCGTGGAACAGGGCATCTGCATGTTACGCTCGGGCGTCAGCTGCGGTTCGCCCAGTGGAGCGTGGAGTTCTGCGCCGGTCCTTTCGTTTGCGGTCACCTGACGGTCTACGTGGGAGCACCTCCGGCGTTTCACCGCTGCTGATATTGCGGTAATTTTAGCGAATTTGTATGAAGAAAAAACCACCACGTCAATCCAGGTTAAAAAAGCATCGTAACACGTATTTTTTACTGACATTTGTAAAAAAAAAAAAAAAAATCCTTGTAATGCCACATTACTGCGTTACAGCAAAAACCAATGCATTACAGTAATTCTTTACTTTTATAACGTGTTACTCCCAACTCTGTAAATGTTATATCATTTTTAAATCTTATTCTTTGGATTTTGGCAGCAAAACTCAGCGCAGAACAACAACGTGACGATGTGGATAACGTTAGGTACATGCTCAAGGAGATTCAGAGAGAACTGCAAATATTGCTCACGGAAAATAAGCAAGATCTTCAGAAAATGAGAGAAGAAATATTCATATCCATAACATTTTTGTAATAGATATGAATATTTATTATGGATTTTTGAATATTTGTTATGGATTTTTGTCAGTAGCAACTTTATTGTGATATAATCGTTAATCACAATTATTCTGGAAAAAAAAATAATCACGCCACATTTCAATATCGTCCCACAGCTGGTAGCAGGCCCGTTGACAGAAATTTGGGAGCCCGGGGCAAGAAGTCTAACATGGCCCCCCTCTAATATAAATTAATAGGATGAGGGGGCCCTAAAACTCCTTTGTCCCCCCTGTGAAGTTGTAATATTATCTAAAGTAATAAATGTATATGCTGAGGAAGATTCGAAAAGGAAAGTACCGAGGCTAATTCTTTAAAATTATTTGTGCCCATTCTCCCATCGATGCTCAAAAAGTTTACAGATCAAATTGTGAATAAAACTTAGTAATCTAAAACAAAAACAAAACAGCCTTCATTTCGAATTCTGCTTTATCTCAGACATCAATTCTACAGTTGATTTAGTTTCTGAGCACATGTTTTTAGTAAATTTGTGCTTTCAAAAGTAAACATATTATCAAAGTAAGGGCAGTCATAAGCCCTTTCCAAAGATCTTCTCCTGATCTTAACAGTATGCAAAGTGTATTTTGTTTATTTCTTATAATACAATCGTTACAGTGTTCGGTATGTGTGCTGTGGGGGTCATACAGGAGTGAAGAACTATGGTAATTTAGTAAAGCAGCGAGCAACACAAAGCTAAAAGATTAAAGATTAACTTCTCCAATTCACCAGCATCTCCAGTTAAAGGTTCTATATTACACAAAATAGACTCTCGTGATCTTTAAGCCATGTTATAATGTTGTTATCTCCTCAAAAACAG